GAGGCAGACCTGTTGATCACCCCGAGCCGCGGCTTCTCGCTAATTGACGCGTTACAGTTCGGCCTTTACCACGCGGATACCGGTAAATTTCGCGACCCGTTCCGCCCCGCGGCCCCGCTGTCCACGTTGAAACAGGCGATCGACTCGGCCTCCATAGATCCCACGAGCACCGTGATCAAAGTGCCCGGGGCCGGTAAAATCGTTAGTTTGTTAGAGGCGGTCAATGCCGGGATAGTAGATCCTATAGCGGGCAAGCTTATCGAAGATCCATCGGGAAAGAGGCTTGACTTCGCGAATGCCCTGGAGCAGGGTTATATACTCACCGCAGAAGCTAGGGTAAGTGGCACACTTTCTTCTTCTTGCTTCCTCTTCTATCTCTATCTCTGTCTCCGTCTCCGCCTATTTACTTTTTTTACACAGACTTTTTACTTGGTCGTATCTCGAGCGACGCTTTAATACCACTTTTTTACCACTATTTTAGCCTATTCTTCCTCTCTCTCTTTCTCTCCATGCTTTCTCCCGCTTCTCTCTTTTTTATTTTTCTCGTCTTTCTTCTTTTCTCTCTCTCTCTCTCTCTCTCTCTCCTAGATTTTGTTCATTTTTGTTTTTTCACCTTTTTGTTTTTTTTCATGTTTCTTTTTTTTTTCTTTTTTGATTTTTAATAATATTCGCCTCTCTTTTCTTTAACTCTTAACCGCTTGCCGCAGAGGTTATGGCTCTGTTTATACGTAAGAAAGGAAAAAAAAGAAAACGCTTCGATGCATCCCGTCGTCTATCGCTCTACGTGTGCGACGATAGCCGACACGTTAGAAAAAAACAGAAGAAAAAATCTCGCGGACTCATTCTCCTCTCACGAAAATTCACTCTCTTTCTTTCTCTCTCTTTCTCACTCACTCACTCACTTATTCGCTCACTCACTATCGACGATCTTGTCGATAGCGATCTCTTTGTACAGCAGCGGCATATCCATGTTTAACCAGCAACATCAACATATTTGCTCGATACATCGGATACACGTCCCTTTTGCATGGTGCCCTTTAAAGAAAAAAGAGCGTGCCACGATACCACGAATG